CCGCGGAACAAACCCTGCATATGAGTTGATGGGTCCTTCCGATAAGATTGTACACAGAGCAGTCTGGCACAAGAAGAATTCCTCACTGTTCAAAGGCCTTGAGTGCCGAAATCTACATTTATAGCCCTTGAAAGGCGTACTGGTGTCTCAATATGATATATATTTCTCAAAGAGATGTTTGACACCAAACAAAATGAATCCATTACTGATTTTCAGTGAACTGACAAAATTGCAATAACAACGAGAGGAATATATCCATTTAGAACTTTATATACACTTTGCATATGTAAATATATGTCTATAGTTTTAAAATAGCACAAAGAATCTTTTAAATGTGTATATCTATCTATATTAATTTGTATTTATATCAGTGGGAAGACATTAGAATCATGCTACTTCGACATTCTTGGGCATGGAGAGTGAGAAATAGAGTATGTGTCATTTCACAGAAAATATTATTAAAACCTCTTTAAATCGAATAACTGGTACGAAGTTTACTTAAAACTAGTACTTAAAATCTTTACATTATAGTTAAGTTTGTTTAATACCCCTTCCAAGACGTTTTTCAACTAATGGTGGCAAAGTTAGCTGTCTCATTGCTGCAAGTTTAGAAAACATACTGGACGCTTACAGTCTTGAAGTTGTTTTGGATATACATGCATTCTATACCACGGGGCTGGGGGAAGGTGGGGCACTGTGAGAGTAAATACACAATTCAGAGAGAGACTAAAACAGCAAAAGTTCCCCCAAATATGTTATTGGAATCAATTTTTAAAATTTTTCAATCTCACATCAGTTAGGGATGACGTCATATGTAGCCAAACTAAAACACCGAATACAAAAAAGACAGAGACAAAGAAAAAATGTAATAAAAGAAATGCAATATTCTGTGTCTGGAATTTTATATAATTATTCACTCGTGAGACAATTTCTTTTTATATATATTTACACTCATTCTTGTACTTATGGAAATATCAAAAGTCTGGATCATGTCCCACTTGTGAAATTAATTTCACATTCAACTACAAATCATTGAATATCAACTATGTTATTTGAAAATCAATGTACACTGTCATTGCTTTTTTTTTTTTTTTTAAAGTTCAATGAATTCAATTTAATTCTTATTGTTTTTTTCCGTAAGAAGTAAATGCTAATAAAAACATGTACATGTAGTACTCTACTTTTCACAGTTTATTCACATTAAACCGGATCAATCAGATATCTTTGACATTATCCATCTTGATTGACATACACAAAACATTTGAAATGGCGCACTAATTGAGTTACACATATACTGCATGTACAATTCAGATTAATGTATCAATAAACAAAAAAGTAAATCAAATTATTTTTTCTCTGATTATTTGAAACATTTATAAGCAAAAAAGAACAACACTTCGTATAAAAAAACAGTACAATTCTTCATTTCTTCAAAGAAACCAAAATAAAAATCGTTATACAAAACTGTTAATCTTATGGTCAGAATCATTTATAGTTATATCAAGCACAAATTCAGATACTCAGCAATCACTGAAATAAATCCTCAGTGAATGATGGAAAATAATATGTGTTAAAGATATTTTAAAAAGCTTTAAATTACTTGAACCTTATGTGTCATCTTTAACAATTTTAAAAAAAATTTTGATTTTAAAAAAGAAGCTGAAGAAAATAACGGTCACTTGTGTATAATAAAATTAAGAGGATCAATAGACGTATAAAATAAATTGAAAGATGGTGCTTTGTTGGACAACAAACTTCAACCTTCCAAACTATTTTCAATCTTTTATAGTTAATATCTCTCACAATGGGATCTTTTGGTCTTTTAAGAACCCTCGTTACACTGCATACTAAAGATTTCTGATTCTATTGTATTTTTCTGCAGTTAGAGTGTTCTGCCTTTATCTCTAGATTCTTAAAAACAGACAATCGCAGTATACAATTTGTAATTAATTCAAGTATTTTAACATTTTAAAAGACCAAGATAAATTAATTCAACATGTTATTTGCATTATTTTCTCTGTCGAAGTAAACAACAGTGATTTCTATTCACTGAAACTGTGTTGTGAATGATTATTTTTCCTGGGGTATAAATGGCACGTACCATATAGTGAAAATTGCATAAATAAGCTCATTATCAACACCTTTATAGAATATATTTTTCTCAATGTCCAAAAAGCATTTTGCAGTGGTGTAGAGAGGGTCCTTAAGAACAAATTTTTCAAAGATTCGCAAAATTAAATCAGCGTAAAAATTTCCAGATTTACTGTATTATATTTCAAAAATGTACTTTTAAATCTTGCATTAACCTTTCAAATATATATCATTTACAGTAATTGATTATAAGGGCTAAATGGCGAAAGGGCTGTAACTTTAAGGTTTTTAAAAAGAGATTTAGCCAGCAGAAGATCATACAACCAAACGGCCCAAAATGTAAAATATGGGTAAGTACAATATTTAAAAAAAAATCTTCTTAGCCTTACAGATGCCTAAGGACAGAATAGAATAATTTCAAAGAAATAATGCATTTTTACATTTACATGTATGCAGAGGGTCCCTTGCTCATTACAATCAAGCAGTTTATAATTGCTTGATGATCAAAAGTAAAGAAGAAACAAAATAAAAGACAATACTTATATCGGTGGTATACGACCCAAGTTTTAGTCATGTATCCAGGGAAACAGGGACCATGAAATTTACAAGTTTCCTCCCTTTATGCAATTAAATTAAAGTTCAACATTGGTAGAAATTGCTGAAATGGTTACAGAGAAGAATGTATATCTGCGTGATTAATTGTTCATTCTGATGTTTGGTCTCTTGATGCGAAACTACAAAATAAATATATACAAACATGTTAGCTATGAATAAAAAATTCGAAAACTTGTTGTGATAATAAGGAAAATATTTCAATAATTGTATGTATGAATAAATATTAATCATGCGCCCGAATTTTTCAGAGCGCATATTGTTTTGTCCTGTCTGTCTGTTTATCTGTTTGTCAGTCTGTTGTCAACTTTAACCTTCGCCATAACTTTTAAACCGTGAAAGATAGAGACTTCATAATTGGCATGCATACTTCACTAATAAAACACTTTCAAAAGACACAAAGGTCAATGACCGTGTGTCCTTGGCTGTGACCTTTATGCTGTAAATAGCTTTTTCGAACTTTCGCTGTAACTTTTGAACCCTGAGAGATAGAGACTTCATATTTGGTATGCATACTCCACTAATTAAACTCTTTCAACTGACACCAAAGTCAATGACCTTGTTATCTTGACTGTGACCTGTATTCTAGAAATAGCTTTTTTTTCGAATTCTCGCCATACTTTTTGAACCGTGAGAGATAGAGACTTCATATTTGGTATGCATACTCCACTAATTAAGCACTTTCAAATGACACCAAGGACAATGACCTTGTGACCTTGACTGAGACCCATTTGCTTTTTAGAATTTTGTCTTGTTTTGTTTTGTTATTGTTGTGGTCACAGAAGAAATACATAAAGTAAACAAATTACCTGTTCAGATGGTTTTAAAGCGTCGTACATAGGATTATGATGAAATCCTGAATGAACATAGTCTGCAAGTGTGCAATCAACATTATTTGTTAAAGGTAATTCTCTGTAATTGTTTTGTTATTTGTTTTTACATTACATTAGATTCATTAATTAAACAAATAAAAGCATCAATATATAAATTTAAATACATTAAAGAAAACATCTCTTTACCTAACATGTCTACATACCATTAGAAGGATCATAAATTCCACTGTTACTTGTAGAACCAATCGTGCAATACTCATCGCTGAAGCCATCTTTCGAACGTTTTGGTAAGTCATAATCATTATGAAGCATGTGACTAGAAAAACAGTTTTTAAATGCTAAGACTTTATTGAGCACTAAAGTCTACCGTTACAACTAGCAAGGGATACTAAGCTAAATATCCATCTTTCATTATGAACACTGAATGTTTTTGGCTTTGAATAAGGTTTACATTCTTAAGTAAAGCAACATTTGTATAACATTTATATATCTGATTTTTTTTTAACTAATGGGTAAAATACCGGTAGTTGATTTTTATCTATACATCTCGCTTTGAGTAATCACATTAAAAGTTCAAATTGCGTTTGAATCACTTTCCTTCTTTTTTATTATCATGAAAATGTATCAAAAGGGAATACATTTGTTCATGGTTTTAAAACGAATTGATTATCTTAGACAATTTCTCTCTTTACTGTATATATTTATAAAGCTACATCTATCGTATAAACCACACATAAGTGAAACAAGCCAACTTGTTTCAAATATTATGCACATTAATATTAATTATGTTATTGATTTGAAGACAAAGCTAAATAAATGAGTATTTGGTGAAGCTTAAGAGGGCATACCAGCCGTTTCGTTGTGTGGATACTTAAAACATATTTTAAAATAATATTTCCAATAATTTTTTTCTTTCTGTGAGAATGTTGAATGTTAACTATTTTTTAACCTACTTTCGTAAATCTTGCATAGAATAAACACTGAATCATTATGTCGCATAGTGTCTGGTTTCTAATACCGGTTTGCAGATACATGTACCTTTGAATACTACCAGAATCGTTGTTTTTGGACTTTCTTTTGTGGAAGACACAAATTATGAGTACAATAATGGCAAATAATAGAGGAACAGAGACGCCAATCAGAATAACGTAGAGAGTCCATTCTGAAACAATATTGTTTAATCATAAGTGAATATTTTTGTTAAAATATAGCAACGAATGTGTTAAATAACGCACATCCTTAAGAATTCATAACATCGATCAACGTTACAACAAAATAAAAGAATGATACTTATACCTGGTTGGACAATAGAAACGATCCTACAACGATAAAAAATGTCTTAAAATATGTTGTGTAGTAAGTATGACACATAATGGAACAAGTTGCACATACTCTATAATATTAATAGATAGAAATTTCATTTGTCTTTGTTAACCTCTCTCTTTTTTTTTTTTTACAGAAAACCTACACACAAACTGCTATGCCGGACTCGTCCGAACAGATCTCTGCGCCTGTGCAATACTCTTTGGTGTCGAAAATTGAACACGGTTTGGATGTCGAAGAAATATCTAGAAGCAGGTAAAGAATTTTAAAAAATACTACTGAAACAAACAATGATTTTTAAAACGATTTTCCAAGGATAGGCGTATCACATTAGGACGTACAGGCATGACAAGCCTTAGAATTATTATAATGGAATACATTGTATCTATGACAAAACTAAAAATAATTAAACAATTAAAAAAGACAGAAACACAAAGATCTCTGGCTTTTCTTCAATTTAATCAACTTTTCTTCAATGTAAATTAAAATATAGGCCTTTTTATATCATAAATGACTGTTTTTTAAATGAAATAGAAATTCAAAATTATTCATATTTTATGATTGGTCAGAACGACAAAATTATTCTGATTCAACACAGAGGTAATTTAATGTTGATATTAAAAGAATGCTTGAGTTCCTCCTTGATTACTTTTATTCTTTAGGTATTGATTGTGTTATTTTTAAGTCGATATGTTTTATATCATGAATAAGAAAATTCCCAAGAAAACATTAATTTTGCTATGGTCTAGATCTTTAACGTAACGTTAAGATACAAATGTTTGATTGATTGATTATAATTTTAGTGTTGAACGTCCCTCTTGAGAATATTTTTTTTCATATGGAGACGCCACCAGTTGCCGCTGTTAATTTTGTCCTACACTCGGCGCTTAAGGTCATTGAGCAGCGATGGTTCTTTTTCATGCCAGCATCTAATGCGACAAGGGACCTCGGTTTATACGATTTCAACCGAAGGACCGGTCTCCACGTCCCACAGTGGGATTTGAAACAGCGGCGTAAGTATCAACTCCTTACTTCGCGACTCTCGAGCAGGCGCTCTAACAACTGCACCACGCAGCGAATTATACAGGTTTCATTAATATTTCCCTCTATGTGAAGACTCGATATAAACCAAAACTAAAGTTGAAACAAACTTAATCATTAAGTCTGTCAAATTTATTTTACATTGGGATTTTGCTGATATTAACCATGAGTGGATTAACAAATAAATTGTCAAACAAATGAGATGACTTTAATTCAAATTTTCTATCGAGTATATTTCTTATCTTAGTGGCAATATCCTTGCTACATTGTAGCAAATATCATTGAGCCTTGTAATTTTGCTCATCTTTTTCTACAAATTATGGACCTTTTTAAATTTTACTCTTGAATACTCAGTATGCGATTTGGCTAGTACATCAGGGTTTGGTTTTTTCAAAGTTGCGATCGTCAATAGGGGATGCTTACTCGTCCCCGGCAACTATTCTCAGCTTAGTTATGCCAAAAAAAAGTTAAAAGGAAAGATTTAGCCTTGCTCACGTTTATCATCAGTTCCATTTGGGTGCTTCAGCACTATATCTTTCACCTCAACACTTTTGTTGAAAAGTGTAAAACTCGTATCCTGTCGAGCAAGTATTACCAATCCATTAGCAATATCCGTTTTCAATGATTTTGCGTCAGTGTTACTTGCAAAGATTTCATGATCAGCTATAATGCTCCCAAATCTTAAAAGAAACCAAAGAATTATTAATGATTCTTTGCACAAATTAAATGCATATAGCTTCTGTTAATAAAAGATGCATCTTTCGTAACATTACTTCTCTACATGTACTTAAGAAAATTTACTTACCGAATTGACAACACGATAACTTCGGTAAAACCTCGAATAGATCTTTTGTAGAAATCATTCAGCTAATTTTGAATTTGAATTAAAAAAGGAAAATGAATCAGATACAATATTAAAATAGAGTTGTTTATCATTTTCCTCCATAATATCCTTGTATTTTGACTATTGTTACAATTCATTTAGCTTCAAAAAATGAACAAAATATAAGAATCTTGTTGCATTTATTTAAAATGCGGTAAAATATTGTCACTATTAATTTAAAGGAATGTTGACGACCAAAATTTACTATAAAACCTTTTCTTAAAATAACATAAAAATAAGAAAAAATAAATTCTTTTTTATTTAAATATTAGCATTTTATATATACCTTTTCTGCAATTTGATTTTTCCACCTTTCAGGCTGAGCTAAAACTTCGTTTTTGTCGTATTCGACATCAAATTTAATTTCTACTTTCACTTTGGTTTCATCGTCAGCTGATTTTGGATAAAATAAATATTTTATTTGTTTAAAAGTATTGATTCGCTTTAATTTTTTGTCATATTTTAAATTGCTAATTTTTATTAAATGATACTTGATCAAAGCATGAGAATTCTATTTTTAAAATTGCAATATTTTCCATTATTCCTGAAACCGGATACGACCGTTAACTGACAAGAGTATCCACTTTGGCAAGGGCAATAAATTCTACGAAACTTACTCTCATTCCGCGGTGGTAAAGGAGCTATTAAGAGAACAAAAAAGTAGATAATTAAAAAAAAATCAAGTTAAGTCAGAATTATTAGAAATTATGAGACTAACAGTTGAAATACTTACCAGTGCAGTTATTAATATCCAATCCACCGTAACGACATTCACACACAGCAGATCCTTCAGTGTTGAAACAAAATTGATTTAAGGTTTCGTTACATATAGGTAGCTGTTGTTCACATTCATTAACATCTTCTGAACAATGTTGACCAATCCATCCGTTTTTACATTGACATGACCCATTTACATGATTACAGACATCTGTATTGTTTGGAACACATTCACATGTTTCAGAGCACTGGACACCAAAAGTAGAGTCTCCACAAACTGAAATATTCACAAAATGTTAAAAACATATCAGTTATTCCAGGAAAAATATTTAGCTGCTTAATTAGTCACTTCGATATAGTGCAAAAACACACCCTGTCATTTAGAAATGCTGAATTTATTATATTTTCGGATTTAATCAGAGAACTTTTCACGACAATAAGTATTTCCTGACGGTAATTACAGAGGTTTTTAAATATATTATATTATATTTTAGGCTATCATTAAAAGTTGTTTAGTCGTCCTCTCCCGACCGACTGGCTAAAAATGGTCGAATTTAAAACTGTTTATTCCCAAGAATGGTCGGGTTTAAAACTGTTTATCTTCCAGGTAGCAATACATTTTTTAATTAATGTATTTTTGAAAAAAAACATTTATACATTTGCCATTGAAGTTTAATTTTTCTGAGGAAAGAATTTTCATCTGCATCCGACCAAATATTTTATTCGGGAGAGGGCAGACAAACATTATTTTTAAAAATGGCGTTAAGGGGATGGGCGGTTGTGGCAATTTTTCGACTAAATTGATCTACTTTAGTAGAAGAGCTCAAAAAGATATAAAAATATCGAATTTTAAAGCTAAAATATTTTTAAAAATCTTTGCGAAATAATGGTTGACGGATATGTCATTTTTTTAAAAGTCATATCTAGCTATAGGGAGTTATCCTCCTTAACGTTCAATAGTAATACAAATCTTTTTCGCTGACCACTTCATGTCTTTGATTCTGCTTATATCAATATGATTAATATACCTTTCTTTCTAAGAATGTCAGTAACTGGGATTTGTGAAATATTCAAAATAGAAAAAAAGTATTTCCAATAACTTGTCAATGGCTTTTTCATTTACATTATCCATGGTGAACATCCTAAATCTTGAGTTTGTTTGTAAAATAACATTTGTTTCTTACATTATTTACAATTAAATGGCAATTACCAATTGCAAGCTTTCGAATAATTTGCAAAATTGAAACAGGGGTAGAAGAAATGCGTACCTGTGCAATTTTTTCCGCTTCCTTCAAATCCTTTGAAACAAGTACAGCTATATCCCCCGTCAGTGTCATGACAGGTAGCATTATCTGAGCAGTTGTGGATATTTTCTTCACATTCATTGATATCTAAAATCAGATGACATTAGACACGTTTCCAATTTTGATGTGCTTTAAACATGTAAACAGCTGATTATATATATATATATACTTTAAACAAGCAGTGGAATGTTTCTAATAAAATCCCAATCTAATTTTCGCAACAGCTGATACAGAAATGTGTAAGATAAGGAATAATATTCTTACTATGACATGAAAGAGTTGATATGTTTAATGAATAGCCTTCATAGCATGAACAATCAAATCCTCCAGCCCAATTAGAGCAAATGTGACATACATGCACAAGACATTCGTCAATATCTGAGCAGTTACTTAAATCTACCAACTCATATCCATCATCACATGTACACATGTAACTTCCATTAGTGTTTGTACAGTTGTGAGCACAAGGAGATTGTTCTTCACATTCATTGATGTCTAAAAATTATATAAAATATTTCAACACTGTCATATATACATTTTGTCTTTAAAAAATACACCAACCATAACATAAGTAATTAAGAATTTTTAAAGACGACCTAATTTGTTTTCAAAAATGAACGTTGAATTTTTAGTCTGGCATAACTTGGCAAAGGACGACGTTTTTGTTTGCTTACTATTAATATGATTTGATATTACTAGTAAATGTCGTACTTCAATTATAAAAGGAATGGGTTTTCAAACATTTTCTATTGAATTTCTATGTGCAAATGCATTTTAATGACACAGAATCGAATCCTTACCAATGCAACTGTTTGTTGCCGATTTTTCATATCCCTCCCTGCATTTACACATGTAAGATCCGTTCGTATTGATACATACTTCGTTGACGTCTAAACAAGGACTGCTGCTACTGTTACATTCGTTAACATCAGTGTCACAAAACATTCCCTCCCAACCCCCTTTACAGACACACCCGTTAACATGGTGACATCTCTCGGATCCTATGCCACATTTACAGTCTCTAGAGCAATCCTCTCCATACCTCCCATCTACACAAGCTACATAACAATCAAGGGAAAAAAGTCTCAAAAGAAACTTTTACAGATTTAAATTGTTAAATTTTCATATGCATGCATTAGATATTGTAAAAGTTTTTCCCACCTTTACAGGACCTTCCATCGTTTTGCAGTAAGTATCCAATGGAACATCCGCATTCAAAGGAACCCTGGACATTTGTACAATTGTGTTCACATACTAAAGAAGGTATTGCACACTCATTTATATCTACAATACAATTTCTGTAATTAGTTTTTGTTACAGTTTAAAAATTCAAGGAAGCTCTTAAAATTTAACAAAAGTACACAAAGAGAAAGTATTCGACATCAATCCCGATGTAAATTACGTCAGCTTGGTTTCGCTAACCATAACATACTATCTACCACATCCACAAACACATCCTCACACACACTAGCAAGTTACTACATGTATATTCCCTTCTACACATTTGAGAGAAGATAATAATAAAAATGACGTGCGCAATGTAAAGCAAACAAATCTTAATAATTCATAGTTGAATATAAGAAATTTTATTTGACGGCATGTGTTTATTAATTAGCAAAAAGTGTTACAAATGATCTATTTCCCAGTCCATCTCCACCACCCAACCCACCCACCCTATTCTACATTCAATATTGTGGTATAACAATTACATCAAAACTCGGTTAGTACGAACACGGATATTGCGAATTTACGGATATAGCGAAGTCATCTTGGATCCCCAGCTTTATAAATTTAATGAATTTTTTATACGGTTATAAGGAATTACGGATATAGCGAAGTAATTTCATAGGTCCTAGTGACTTCGTTATAACCTACTTTTGCTGTAATTCACCAATTTACAATAATTACAGTATGAAAGTGGTCAGGATATGAAATAAAAAAAGCTAAAAATCTAGCACAAGGTATATCAGCCCTCACATATGTTTCCTAAATTCATTTATATTTCAGTTGTATAACAGAAAGATATGACATTTTGAATTCATTTTCACACAACGGTCACTTTTAACAGGCATTGTTAAGATTTATGAATTCAATAATTTAGTTTGATATATTAATATATGTACTTTGTAGCTCATCACATGTAAGTGGGGCATATTTACGTTTGTGAATATATAAAAGAAACATATGCTTATATTTTAAATGAGTGGATTTCAGAGTTAGTAGTAAATACCTATACATGTGCTGTTATCTTTATCAAGTTTAAATCCAGATTCGCAAAAACAAAATCCTTTAAATGATTTATCCGCTTCCTCTTTGATTGCACAGCCATAGCTACAGTTTAAATCCGGAAAGAGCTGACACATGTCTAAAACTAAATTGAGACAATGAATTTTAGAATATAAACACCCAAAATATATTTTGATATCGCTACCTCTTTAAGAAAACAAATATTTCAACAATGGTTATACTAGTATATTAGGCATTGACGGTCAACTGAATACACGTTTCAAGAACTTTACAAGTGTTGTTAAATTCAGACCTATACATGAACAGGTACATGTACGTGGGACTGGTCCGGATTATTTTGTAAGAGACCTTACAGTTTGATATGGAGTCTGTAATCTGTATTTTGTTTATGCAGATTAACTCCTCTACGTTCAAGAGTAAACAAAAGGAACAATATCAATTTCCAGTCATGGCAATTTTCTCCAGATTTCTCGAACATCGTCCATTCTAACAAAATGCATTCTTAAAAATGTAATTTAATTCATGTACTTTTAAGTTCATACAAAGTGTTTTAACCTATTATACTTACGTTTCTCACAGTGTCTACGGTCATTAGTGAGCTCATACCCAAATTCACAATCGCAATTAAATCCTCCGATGGTATTGATACAAAGCTGAGGACAGTCATGGTTACCATTATCACATTCATCAACATCTAAAATATTTTTTCTTAATTTATTACATTTTTACCCGTGAAATACTGTAATTTATTCATTGAATAAAAATTATATCCTGTCACACTGTGAAAGGATATCAAAATGATATCCTGTCACAGTGTGACGAATATAAAAGTACATTGCTGTAAAAAAAATCTTCCTTGACCTAATATAAGATAGATGAAAATAAATAAACCACTCTGGCAGCGAATAAAACTGTTAAAATTACCAAAAATATGTTGCTAAATCCATGTTTACAGTGTTTTCACCTCACATAGCTATGACGTCTCAACCGCTCAACTATGACGTCACGAGCCTATGACTGTGTAACAAAAAGACAGAGGCAAAGGAAAAATCAAAGAATTTTATTTTAAAAATGTAATAAACAGAAAATTCAATGTTTTGTAGTTGAATTGGAATTTATTTCACTCGTGAGACAGGATTTTTGATATTTTCACTCGTGCTTCGCACTCGTGAAAATATCAAAAATCCTGTCCCACTCGTGAAATAAATTCCATATTCAACTACAAAACATTGAATATCCTCTATTTATTTTATTTATTCGCCCGTCTTAAATGACCATAAAATACATTACATTTTATATTCCAGAAAGATTCAGTAAAAAAGCTTCTATGTTAATAATTTCCATCCCTAATTGGACCAAATCCTCTACCCTTAAATGTCCGTCAAGTACATAATACTCTGATATTATATTAAAGCATTTTATAGTGGAAAAGGATTGCCCGGGAGAAAGTTTCAAAAATTTCATTAATTAAGCAGTGGTTAATTATAAAAGATTGCATTGAAGTCTATGGGAAAAAGCAATTTTTCAAAATAAAAATTCAGATAATTTGAATATCCATAAATCCTGCGGCGGAAAGATACATTGAATTATTAAAAATAGAATGACAATTGAGAACAATTTTTTACCAGCTAAATTTTTAAAAACTAATTTTATCTTATTGATTAAAAATAGTGGAGATAACTCTTACCAAAATTCAAGGTCATAAATTAGGACACACCCCACTATGCATACTATTAGTAATAAATGGGAAGCATGTTTAAATAAACAGAGTATTCAATGCCTACACACCTGTTATGTTTTCAGTTTCATTGAATTTGTTCCTATTAGGGTGAATACCTTAATAACAATCTATTCCTTGAAATAATTAATTATGCAAATAAATCCAAAAAGCATGCTTCGGAGAACATTCTGTTTCAAGAATAATAGAATTTAGTATGGGGAGATGCCATTAAACTATATTCAAAATATTTAAATTCCGTTCCACAAATATAATAGCAGGAAATAGGGGGAAAAGTTGAAAGGTTGTTATAGTTTGCCTATCGAAGTCACTGACAAATTTTAATGAAACTGTAAACATTCAATTTTAGATTAATCTCAAAGTATCGATTAAAAATCAAAATGTGCAAATAATTTTATTATTGTAATTTCTGGAAGTCCCCATCATCTAGCGATGTTTTTTTTTTTATAGTTTACTTGAAATTGACCTGGGGGTTCTTGAGAAGAAGTCGATTTTTTAAAAGATTTAACAGACAATATACACAACAAACGACGAATACCGACCAGCCTTCAATCAAAAATTTCAAGCTCTCTTTGGGATTTTGGCTTCGGTGAGGTAAAAAGTGGTTTTATGTTTTGATAATAAAAATTCTACTGCTGAGTAAGGAACATATGTTTAAAATATTACCTTTGCATATAGAATCTATGTTAAGATATCCTTTCGAGCAAGCGCACGTGTAATTTCCATACAGGTTTTCACACTTTGTGTTTTCTGGGCAGTTATATAAGCTGTCATCAGAACACTCATCGATGTCTGAAAAAATATATTCAAATCATTTAATTCTTACACACCAAAGTAAATAAGTAAATTCTTTTACTAAATAAACTCATTGTGTAGAAAATATTTTTGCGTCGACCCTGGGGACCATACAAGAAAATTGATGTTAATTTGGATGATTATAGAAAAAAAAGTATTAGAGGGTGAAGGTGTGTATTTATATTTTGGGTATTTTTGCTAAAATATTTATTTGTCAATTTGGAAGAAATTGGGGGTATTTCAAATTTTATTGATTTATTACACAACAGTGCTACTAGTCCTCTGCACAGGCTATGGAATGGAAACATGAAACCTCTTTTATCATAACAGCGAGGTAGGTTCATAGGATGAATTGTAGCTAGAAATGGAGGTTGTTATTTAAGGTCAGTTTTTCTTGTTGCTGTTTAGTTGTATGTAAAGACATAGTTTGCATTTTGTGCAGTATTATTTAGCAGTATCACGGGACTAGGAGCTGTTTTGGATCTAGCGAAATGGAGATAAACGGCTAAATTGTCGAATATTTTCAGATTTTCAATGTTCTTTCATCTTGGTTTAACATGCAAGTTATACATGTCATTCCTAAAACCTTTTAATTCCAAAAGGAACTAGACCATACTATTGTTACAAGAGACGAGACTTAAAAAAAATTCAATACACACTTTACAATGTTCAATATTAAAGAAAACGTCGGACAAACACAAAGATTGTCAAAAATCCTGTCCTCTGCCACCTCTGACAGCTACTTGTAAATACAACAGAATGCAATACATGTCGTCTCTTAAATAATTTGCTCTTGAGACCCAAGGTGGTATTTTTTACATCTCAATCGTCGGACTAGTAGTTTTTTAGATTATTTTATATTTTAGAATACATATATTTTACACAATTTAGAATCCTATCCTAGATTTCTTTTTACCAAGACATTATCTACGTATGTTTGTCCTCTTTTGACTGGTTGCAATTTGTATTTGGTTTTCTTTTTTTTTGAATTAGAATACCTTCACAACTGCTTTGATTTCTCTGAAAGCCCTCCTTACAGTTACACTGGTAGGATCCTTCCAGGTTTTCACACACCTCATATCCACAGATAGATTGGTCTGTATCACACTCATCAATGTCTTCAGTACAATTTTCCCCCATCCATCCTGGCAGACAGACACAGCCACTTAATGGGTTACACCTGTCCATACCTGGTCCACAGGTACATATTTGGCTACAATTGTCTCCGTAGTTTGGTTCTTCACACTCTAATAAGAAGGATATGGAGATAACGAACAGTATTTAATCTCAAAATCCGTAAAACAATACAAAATAAGAGCAGAGCAAACACGGATCTGCGAAACATCAGAGGTGGGATCAGGTGCCATGGAGGAGTGAGCATCCCCTGCTGACCGGTCACACCCGCCGTGTGCTCCTTGTCATGTTCAGGAAATGACGGAAAAATCCGTCGTCAATTCAGTGAATAAATAATGGATTAAAAATTACTATGAAAAACGTCAGTCAGCATTTGACTCAATGATAAATTGTATTTGCTGACATGGTCAATAAGCTATTATATTAATCAAAAAATTATTTTAATTCTTCAGAATTATTCATTTATTCGACATAACATGAAGGAATTCTCTCCAAAAAACGGGCTTCAAAATGCTTTTTCTATATTTCACAAACTTTTGTTAAAAAAGAATGTTTTCACCTGTACATGATAATTTGTCCTCATTAAGTGTATACCCCGGCGAACAGGAACACAGGAAGGAGCCATTTATGTTAATACAGTTTTGTTGACACAGAGAAGGTTGTACACTACACTCATCAATATCTGAATTAAAAACGATCTGTATTTAAAAGTACCTCGATATTTTAAAGTTGTTTAACATATTTTTCTTCGGACTTTGTATTCATATTGTTTTGAAGAAACTGAAACATAATGATGAAATGACATTTGCTCAGACTCATAAAATATCATGATTTACCTGTACAATTCATTCCATTCTTGTGAAGTTGATAACCAATTGGACAGATACATTGTCCTTTCGAATTACAGGTGTATTCACAATGGTTGTCGAACTCTTTACATGGATCTTTGTCTAATTTGCAAATGAATACTTTTTGTTGTATATGGGAATGCAGAAACTTATTATTGTTTTTTATTAACAAATTCATCCCAAACGACGAAAAATTTGGCTAGTTTAAATAATTGTATTTCAGTTAAATGTGTACGCTTTAATATGAAGATGAACATTTTCTTTTATTTGTTTGACTCACAACATGAACAAGAAGAAAAAATATTGAATATTGTATGTAAATACATGTTATTATTTATTATCCAAATCTTGACATCTTGAACATCTTGAACTTTTTTATCGAGCTTAGGAATACCTACCTGTTCTATGGCATGTAACGTTGTCATCATTTAAGGAAAATCCCGGATGACATTGGCATTTGAATGATCCTGGGGTATTTTCACAAATACTCTCACATCTTGATACTCCTACATCACACTCGTCGATATCTATTTGTACAGTTAAGAATTCAATAAATCAAATAAATGAAAAGTCAATCAATTCATAGAGGCCTTTAAAATTTTCAGCTACGCCTTGGGCCTTGGTGCTCAGGCTGTCAAACAAAATCACAAAGAAACAAACAAAATAAAGTGCTTCTAGTCATTTTTTCATATCTGACAATATCTCTTATGGCAAATCTACCATATACTATGTCATTTAAGATATATCTTATCATATAATAACTTATTTTGCTTCAGAAAAGACCTTTTCAGAGAAAACTATTTTGATTGAATGACTTTCATGACTAAAAACGGCCACTTAAATCTGTGTTTTACTATTTGGTTTGTTTATATTTTTGTAGAAAGGTAGATATGTTTTGAGAAATTGGTTTACGCTAGGCAAAAAAAGAATAAAGAATGAAATAATATATAAAAAAAGACCTATAGCTGAAAAAGATAACACGACGAAGAATGCTCAAATGAAGTCATCTAATATTTTTTTAAATAGTCAATGAAACAAACAAAACAGTAGGTTTAATTCGCATTAATAAAGCTTTTTATAAAATATAACTTGTAAATAGACTTGCATTGTAATGTATATTTTAAATATGAGATAAATTCTATGTAAATAAACTGTACCTATACAGCTGTTATTTTCCTCTCTGTAACCTGCGATGCAGTTACATACAAAACTGCCCTCCGTGTTCTCGCATATTTCTGATGCAGGATTGCAAGTGTTTGTGCCATTGTTTCCACACTCATCAATATCTTTGAAAATAAATAGATACATATATTTATTCAACTTGACCTTTAAATATTTCTAACAGGAAAAAAAGCCGGTCCATTAGATTGGTTGAATTAAATCCTCTTTAAAAAGTTTGGAAATGAGTGAAATTACGTTTTAAAACTTTTTAAATTTCAACCTTCACATTTATTTTCAACATCCACAAAGCCAGATGGACAGTCTGAGCAGTTGTATCCTCGACCCAATATGAACTCTTCCTCTGGAGTGAGGTCAATGCATTCCCTGTTTAAAGGACATGGACCAGAGAGACAGGCATCTGTATTCGTTTCACATCTGTCCCCTATATAATAGTAAAAATCGTCTCATAATCAGTTGTTGTGCGGGGGATGATTTTGCGATCTTTGTGTTTATTCTTTCCTACTTACCAGAGTAACCTATTTCGCAGACACACACTGCTTGATTAAACAGAACTTTTTCTGTCTGTATAATGTTTTCGTAGTCACAGCGGCCTCCGTGTAAGCAGCCTCCACAACAGACAATGGAGACATCCAGAGACGGTGACTCGGCTCCTAACTCATCTACTACACTAATGCTTCAATTAAACAGTTTAGAATAAATACGATCATTCATGTACTAGTTTTAGTTTGTATAAATTTCTTCTGGAGTATATAGTCAAAGTCAGTTACCTTATTTCTGCCACACTTATATTTCTTGGTGTCCATTTTGCTATTCCTGTTGTTTGATTTAAAAGAAAATTTTCTGGTTGTTTTAAGATATTATATTTAGGCCTTTGGTCGCCATCATCGGTATAATTAAAGAAGAGTTCTACAGAATTGCCAACCTCAACATTAATGGATGTGGTTCCAGATATCCTGGGTGTTTCATTTTCTTTGAAGAAAAAAAATCGGTTATCAGTATCTAACCCTAGTGTGAGACAGTTTTAAAAACTTATATAAAAATGACCAAGCAATATCCAAAAACATATCTCATATCAATTACATGGACTTGTTTATTTATTCACTAACCAATAAGCTTGATATCGGCTTTTGATACCGTTTCCTCAGTTCCGGAAGATTCAGCGAGTGCAATATCCCCAGTTGCAAGAAAATCAAATATACACGCTTGTGACGGATTTGGTCCACAGCTCTTTTTCGCTTCATTTAATTTTTCTTCATCTGCTTCATCCACAAATAATGGTTCAAACTCGGGATGAGAGAAGTTTTTGTATGTTAATCCCCTTCCATAAGTAAATAAAGAATCGTTACCGACAAGCCCTGTAAGTAATTAAACGAAAAAGTTGTTATATTTATATCATTGTTGAATTTAACTATTTTCCCAAACATTTTTTTCGAATAAAATCATAACATATATAATAGATGTTCTTCAATATCTATATGATGTAGGCATTACATGTTTAAAGTAAGCCCGGGGTAGGGTGGGTGGGTAATAAGCTCTAAGAAAAAATTATATGCTAAGTAGCATTAAAATGGTCAATTTACAGAAAAAGATCGTTAAGAAAACTTTTGAATATGTTTTAGTAGTATATACATCTTTTACAAGCTGATTCAAATACACATAATATTTGCAAGCATTACTTACATAAACAGTTCATGTGCATATATTTTTTATATATATGATACATTTATAAGATTGTCTTTAGGAACAAAGTTCTTGACAAATCATTTTGCACTCAACAATATTTACAAGTACAGTCAAACTTGTCTTAGCGGTCACCCGAAATCAACAGCCACTCGCGGTCAGCGGCCACTTTCAGTTCCCCCCGATGATTTGTCCTATATATTTTGACTGGAATAAACGGCCACCTGTGTAACGCGGCCAGCGGCCACTCAAATCCTCTCCCAACAGCCTTATTGACACTGTAATAGGCGGCTATTTCGTCACTTGCTGCGATTCTGTCATGTCTTTTAAACTCATTCGCTTGGGTGATTATATCCCGATAGCCAATTTAACCCAGCTATTAATGCAATTAAAACAAATTACTACTGGATACACTGAACTCTGTTTGTGTTTATGAAAATAATCTGTTAGATAAATTTATTATTTTTCAAGTTCGCCGATTGAAAAATAAAAAGAATTTAAATACAATTGATAGTTTCCTTTACCTAAAGAAATTCACACCTTTTAGATTTTGATTTCCAGTAGAAGCCCTAATTGCTACACTTGTGAAAACAAAGTGCTTCGTGTGGCATGATTATCTCGTGAATTTCACTATCAACAGACGATCGATAGGGATTAGTCACGCTCCACTGCATATGACACCTGTGTTATGGAATGATTTTTAACTGCGTCAATACATCTCTCTGGTCAAGTGGTTAATTTTATTTGTGTGTCTGAGTATGTTACATAGAAATTCTAACAGCTTTATAAACAATAAAATTTACCAGACTTTGAAAAACTTCAGCAAATAAGTTAATTGCCGATGAATTAATTGGGGTGGGGTTGGGGGTTACACTGCTGACCATTTTTGAACATATGCAATTTAAATTTTTATTGACATATTCTTACTTAAATTTCTATGTTTTATTTTATTTACCATTAAATTGTATTTTTGTGCAATTTTTTTCTTTATAAAAAGGATAATAGCCAGGCACTGTATGTATTTCTTGTTTAACTAATATTTAGAAACAATGACATGCACAAAACCTTTTAAAAATTCTAATTCTTTAATAGTTTTTTTTTTAGAAATGAGCTTGAATTATTATACATACACTAAAAAGCCTTTTTTAAATTGACCTGTTTTATTATTTGATTATTCAATCTAACTGTAGTGCTTAATGTTGTTTATTCATTGCCCGAATGTCTTTTTCGAGGCCAAACTGGAATGAGAGGCTACCTGTCTTAAGTGGCCAGTTTCCAGACTTCCCAAAGGTGGCCTCTTAAAACAAGTTTGACTGTATATGTTTAGAACGCGCAAGTTAGCTTAAACACCATTCACTAGAACACTACTCTGGACTCACATTGCTGACCGAAGTTGAAGTAGATGTCTCTCTCTGTTTTTGTTGCACCTTCATTCAAAGTAGTTCCATTAGGAAGAATAAATTCATTGTCAATTTTTCCGTCAAAGTTGCCCATTAAACCTTTTGTTAATCCCTTGTACGCTTCATCCACGACTGTCTCCGAAATAAGAAAGCGTACACCCAAACTGACTTTTAATATAATAGCTGAAAGTATACAATTCATGTAAAACGTCAAGTTTTTAAAAAGCACCGATATTTCAATCCCACTCTATACAATTATCACGTTTGGATCATATATTTGAAACATGGAATGAACAGATAATGAACGCAAACTTGATTACACTTAACACTTTTAAATCAACATTGAAAGTGTCATGACTGAACAAGACTGTTCATGAATGTTAACTGATGCTTCAGTTCATAGTTCTTAGAAAAAGATCTGTTTTCACCATGTCTTCAACACGCAAACCTTTTGTTCATTGAACGCTCTTCAGACAGAGTAACTGTAACAGTTCGTCAAAAATATATTTATATAAATTCAACTCTGTGAAAGAAGATAAGGGCATAAGGCGGACGAAGTATCTATAGTGCGACGTATAAACATCTATTATATCCAAAATTTCTTTGATATTTAATCTAACATAAATGTATACAGTTTTTGGTTTTCAAAAACACGGAGCGAAGACTCACTATACCTTAAAAGATAATTTTATTATAAAACATGTGCATCTTTCCGAGAAATGCTTCAAGTCCAAGGTCATATCACAAATATGATTTAAATGCCCATTCGAAATTGCTGGTGTTCGAATCCCACGAATACCATGTAATATTTTTATAAAAGAAAAAAAACGATATTTTTTCTCTCAGAAAAGGTCTTTTCTCATGATTTCATAAATTTCAATACTAGTAATGAGAAGTTACTTTGAATATTGAATTGACATATTGAATATGATTTCTTAATATCTGAGGCTATAGGCATTCGGCCCGCCTTGTTCACCCCTCTTAACTGTTTTATGATTGAATTGTCTAGAATATAACATCTCATCGCTCAAAGCTAAATGAATGCACAGGTTACTGGTAGGTTATTTCCAAACAATATGAAAATGCATAACATCCTTGGCCCCTAAAAGCCATAAATTAATGCAATGAAAAACATTTATAAGATCTGAAAAAGTTCTATGATCTATGGCTAAATTCAATCAGTATTTTATCATAGTTGAACTGTTGCATAGATACTTACACGACTGGAGAAAGGATGCTGATATTGTTTGATTTTCCCAGCGTACTGATAAATTTTGTGTGAGAAGTGTATAGTTTGCATTTTCAAACTCCCTGGTTAGATCATTTCCGTTCACTCTTATTATCATTTCTAAATAGAAAAAAAGCAGTACAATAAGAAAGAACAATTATATCAAATGCATTGATGTCGAATAGCTTGCTGAGAAATTTTATTTATAAATATTAAATTAGATGACTAATATCATGCTTATCTGCGACATCGACAGGTAAAAATTGTTATTTGCTTTTAGAACTGAATTCTTTTTCAAAATAATCATATTGGTGTTCGGAAACTTTTTACTTGTCTTATCCCGAGTCATGTCTATCTGCACTTTTGACCCAGTATGGTCCTGAGCAACAAATGCACTGAACACCGTTGCATTAATGGTCGTCCCGTTTGCTGTGGTGGCTAATTCCGTTCTCGCCTGGAAGTCAAACTTTGTCGATTCTTTAATTATTTTCATCATTGTATACTCTCCAAAGCCATTAAATGTATAGTTTTTACCGTCGAGTGTAAAAATGTGGGGGTCACCAAAATTTACGCCTGGAAAACAGAAAATTATCATATAAATGTTAAGTACCAATGCAAAATAACAAGTTACTTCTACATTCATTTTCTTAGGAAAATGGGGGTAGAAAAAATAAAGTAATTATTTGAATGCTTATTATGGAATGATTTTATTCTTGAGAAATTTCTGAAAGAAAAAATATTATTTTTGTTCTGTCAGTAAAAAATAAATTATAATCAAATAATATTAAATTACCAGGTTGAAATGGTGACCTCCAATAGCAGCGTGGGATTGGACGAACTTCGTAGTACCAATGACAGTGTCCTGACTTACAACAGGCCTCTTTGGGTTTAAGGTCACTTTGACTATACAGTTGTCGTTCAAAGAATGGATTATACTCCAGAAGTGTTCCTGCGGCGGGTAGAAATCTCTCCAATGTACTCAAATTATCAATTGATCCATGCATTCTGAAACAACATTCCTACAAAAACAAATTAATTTATATTTACTGTAAATGATTTATAAAACCATTAGGAGTAATGTTAGTAACCGTCGAGCTCCTTGCTTGTACTTTTTAAAAGGTCTAGGATGACAAACATTTAGAAATCTCATTATTGAAAGGGATTTCAAGAAATTATCACAAAACATTAACCTTATAAAAATTCAAACTTTGAAAATTTACACTTTCATTTGATGTAACTACAAACGTAGAAAAGATGTTGCCCATTTACATCATTTTTGCAATTATATGTAAAATGAATGCTTGGAAAGTATGGGACGTTAAACAATATACAATCAATCAATCAATCTTATAAATATCGCATGTTTCTTACTGCAGTCATCCTTTGATAAAAATTCTTCAAAGGCATTAAACTGTAGATTTATGATTCAAGTGTATAAGAAATAAATCTTCATATGAAATACATATACTTACAGCATTCCTTCCCACTGTCATGGAGGAATAGCAAAGTACTCTGTTTGTTCTATCAAATCTACTGATAGCATAACGTGGGTCGAACCTCAGCAGTCGACTATCACATGGGCATTCGATTAGACTCAAAATAGGAGACAGATTTGTATACATGTCTCGCTCTTTGTTTTGAGTATACCAATCAAAGCATTCTCTCTCGTCTTTGTTAGGGGGGATTCCGGTCGTCATCTTATAAATCCAAAATCCCCCTGCTCCTAAATAATTGAAAATAATTGTATAAATACTGATGATTCAAAAAATTACAATTCACTCTGTTTGTAAGATCGTTCAATAATTATTTTATTTAAAAAATATGTTTCCTGTATTTTATCTCTTTTAAAAATCGCTTTTTAAAAAAATTGTTTCATACATTTTAATTAACTTTTCTTTTATTTAGATACCTCTGTTTCCTGGATTTTTACTCATTCGGAAAGCTGCATTTTTGTTTGAAAAAGAGTTTTTTCGATATTCCTTTTTATACTGATATCCGATGGTTATTTGTTTCTTCTTGATTGGTTTTAGATTAACATCTATATAATTAATTACTGTAAAAGTACTCATCCCATCTGTTATTAAAAGATTTTGGAAAGTCACTCTCTGAAATATATGTTGAAAAGTGTTATTAGAAATTATCTTTATGGATTATAGAGCTATAATCCAAATTTAATGTTGCAAATTAATTGAAAATCGATACAAAAAATTAATAAAATACATAGTTGAATTTGTTAAACACCTGAGACTTATCTCCGAATAATGTCATATTTTCCCATGTAACTTTGACAAGCCAAGTCGCCTCAAAATGAGGAAAATCTCCAAACTGCAGTCGAATTATTTCATTTGCTTTTCTTAGGAACAAGTCATTTTCGGCATTTATCCCCCTGAAAATAGAATTGATTATCTTATTTTTGTACACTATATTAATTAACGAGGTTTCGAATAACTTATAAAGAGTTAATAAGCTTTTTTGTACCTTTGATATGCCTTGAAATAAACATTTCCAGTAGCATCCACCGTCAATAGATCTGTCCAAAAAGGACAAATTATTCGTTTGTCCCTCAAATCTGCAGTGTTAATTTCATGTATTGTGATACTATTAAATTCCTCTCCAAGGCCTATTATCCCATTTGTGCCAATCTTAAAAAAGTAAATAAATAAATCTATTTCATACTTTTTTCTTGTAATCAAAATTTCTAGATTGCTAAATATAGACATTGCTCTTAAAAATTGTATCGAAAATGTCACGTACAACGACTGAAGTAAATCCACCCTCTGATCCATCCCCTACATATAATGTCGTGGGAGCCTTTAGATGATGTGATGTTACGTCATCCCCTCGTAACACCTCATCTCTCTCACCATATGGCATATAGGCATACGTGTCTATGTCGGCTGAAACAAAATGTAGTCAAATACAATAGACTAACTGATTAAGTCAATAAATTGTATTCTTTATTAAACCAATTATGTTTTTTAACTTACATTCATCTGTTTCTATCCAATCCAGAAAGGCCTCACTTTCTTTTTGTCCAGCCCATATACCGCTAGCGATGGAACCATAACTGACTGCAGTTATTGTGACGTTGTAAATTGAACCAGGATTCAATTTCTTAGGCCAGTATATCTGTGGAAAACTGCCGTAAGTTTGTTCTTGATGACCATTAATAATAACTTTGTAATGATTCAGTATTGTGTTTTGTGCTGGTCTTTGCCAAGTTAAATAGAGATTGTTTGCGGAGAAATTGCTTAATTTTCTGTCTATTTTTCCTGGTGGGTATAAATCTAAAATTATAAAAGCATACTACAAAGTCAGAATATGAAGTATTAAAGCCAAAAATTTAAGAACATTTTTAAAATTGATCAGTATTTAGTGGATAGGTAAAATTTTATTGATAATAACCTAATACAATTTTCGATGAACTCCTTTGCTCATAAATGGTCTCTGTTGGGTTACTGAGTAGAATTTTAGATCTGATTACAAAGTAATATCCACGACCTGGATTATGTTTACACGATGTTGCATATTCTGTGAGATTTCCAAGATGATTGGTTTCTTCATGTCTCCAAGAGTAATAATGAAGAGAATACAACTGAACCTCATAACCAACAATAAGATGTGCGTCAGTGGACGGGTGTCTCCATTTTACAGATATCTCACATTTATTACCTCCAATTTCCATGATGCTAGGTCGTAAGTTACTTCCTATTTCATAGATAAAAAATACAAACTTAAAGACGCTTATTTACATACACCTAACACTATTTTTTTTTTTAAAAATCCATAAAAGTAGATCACCAAATTATAAACACGTTATAAAATTAAATATTTGTATTTTGTCTACTGAAAAACTAATTATGTATGTTTCGTTGGAAACATTTTAATCACTGGTTGAAATCCTATCATTTATTCTTTATATAATTGATGATTAATTACTTAAGTAGGACAGCGATTCAGAATAATATGCATTCATCCACTTGTGTTTTATAATATATAAATGAAATTTTATACGATTGTTTGTCACTAGGGAGGGGGGCTTCATTTTTTGTGATAAAAATATATCATACTTACTGAAATAACACCTGGCGTCTTTGTGATAATACGATGACGAACATAAGCAAACATTATTAGAACGACATGTTAAGTGTTTGTTAGGTTCACATTCTCTACTCTCCCTGCATTGCTCCAGGAATTTAAGACCTACATGAAAAAAAAATTAAAAGAAAAAATATCATACCTCTAAAATAATACATTTCAATAATGTCGGTAAAATTTAGCATTACGCAATGTGGTATTGCGAGTAACTCACAGTTATCTAACGAAAGAGTTCTGATAAATATTTGCGATATCAAGTATTAAATTAACCTTCGCATGACAATTTGCATATTTTACTTCAACATAACACCCCCCCCCCAAAAAAAAATCAAAAAATAAGCACATCGTTGAATGAATTTAAAATGATATTTGACTTTTCATAACTAGATCAAAACGTTAAGTTATACTTATAAATAGTCAATTCAAAATATTTAAAAAAGTATATTGGATTATAAACAATTATATAACTGAGAATTATCAATTGTTGAAGTCCTTTCATTCGGTCCTGAACCGTTCAAACAATTTAACAAAAATATCTCGTGGGAAAAATAAAGTAAAATATATGATTCGATGATATCTAATAATCTCCTTATCAATGCTGGAAAGGAAATTCAATAAATTGATGAATTCAGGGACAGCTTTACCCAACGAAGAAAATGAATAAGCAACTACATACTTCCATATATATACACCCGTTTTCTTTCACTTGTTGCCCATCCTTCTGCGTTGAGAGCTGCACATTGATAATATGACTGATGTTCATTGTAAAAATCGACTTCGTGAATTCTTAACACAGGATTAAAAAGATCAAAGGTGCTGCCGTTGTATCTGGTTTCATTAACATCTATGTCGGTAGGAATCCCATTGGATTGGATTTTTTGCCACTTAGTTTCAATAGTTGGCGGAAAATCTGATATGTTTTTTACTAAAGCAGTTATTTCGATAGTTGAAAGAAAGGCTGCACTGAGGGACGACGAATCAATCTGAACAAATGGCGTACCTAAATAATAAAAATATTGATATATGAGCTTGTATCAGATATATATATATATACATAATTATATACATATAAAGATTATAACAGGATGAAATATATGGAGATGGAACAATATATGGTATACAGGGGACAACATAGGATAACTTACGAAGAGTTTCCAAAATCTCGCTATATCCAACACTCTCTTTCTGGTAGCTATTTCCGTTCCAGCTTCTCGTAACAATCGTAACAGTGTAGTTTTTCCCAGGCTCTAATCTACTCGGCCAAGTATATGCATTTGTATACGCATACCACCAATCGTAATATCCAGTTCCTCGTATGGTAACTCGGTAATTGCTGACATAAGTATTATTCACTGGAACCTCCCATCTTAGAGAGAGTCTTTCGGGATGAAAGTGGCTAGTATTTCTATCAATAGGACCGGGAGGAAATGGCGCTTTATAGCAATATCAAGAGAATTTCATTAGAATAGAGTCTATGATGTAAAAATGTCCACTGAAAATAACAAAATTAAAAGAAGTTACTTACCTACAACTAAAGCTTTCGGTGCTGATGTCACATTTATCATTTCATCTGGATCGCTTAATAGAACCACGGAAGTTATTTCAAAATAAAACAAGTGTGTCGGATTAAAATTTCCTTCAAATGTGTAATTAGTCTCCAGTCCAATAGACTCCACAATGTTCAGTGGTCCCCAATGTTCTCTCAGTCTGACAAAATAAGACTGAAGGAGATCAGAATCACTATACGGATGATACCACGAGACAGTGATAAAAGATGTAGTTATTTCTGAGCTTCTGTAGGTTGCACTTAATGTACTTCCTAAAAAGATTTATTTAAAATTATTCAATATCCATGCTTTCTTGTTAAATGGTACATAGAATACTCATAAATGAATTTCATATTTTTAATCTTTCTGATGTTTAATCTTAACAGTCAAATAAATACAGTTATTTTAACCACTACTTACAGGGAAAACATGTTTTGTTCCTATGATAAAAGCTACTGTTGCACATACATGCGTTGTATTTTGGTGAACACTCCAGAGAATATCTTTCATCGCATTCCTTTGTCATGCTGCATGTTTCATTAAACTGTAAAACGTTTTTTAAAAAGAAAAAAGAAGTGTATGATTGTCAATATATTTGTTACTATAATAGTCTTAAATTCTATAAAAAGGTATAATAACAACGAAGCGTCTTATTTGTCTAACTTATTTAGCTATAAGTAAAGATCGATCACTAGACAATTTTAAGTACTCATGTACTACGTACTTCCCCTGACTTCCAGATGCACTGTATTGCTGAGACACCATCCACCAAATATTTGAACTTGAAGTTGATAGTTTACCTCATCATCAAAAGTGATATTATTTATTTGAAGCTTTGGCCAAGGTAAGTTTGCACTTCCATAGTTCTTGTCATCGTTGATATCGATGATCTCCGTACTGTGTGATCCAATTTTTACCCATCTTGATAGAATTGCAGGATTGGAATTGGATTCTACGATGGCTGTGAATGAGGCTGATGTACCAAAATCTTTTGCAATGAATTCAGGTGTTACTATAACAACTGGACATACTGTATAAAGTAAAACAAAAGAAACATAAACATGTAAAATATAACAAGGAAATAAATTCCCCCCCCCCAAAAAATTTAACTCTGCGATATGTTTATTAAAATACAGTCAGAACTCGAAGCAGGCGTATTGTAAATCAAGTCGAAAATTGACTTCTCTCATACAAATAGTAAAATAGTAAATTTTCCACGGAATTTTCCCTTTCGTCCAAACATGAAAAGGAACACACGGTGTATAAAATATTTGTTTAATATCTGCAGATAATTGTACTCACTTGAACTATTTGCGGTAACCATAAGTTCTGTTGTAGTCGTGATGGGTATGGTTGCCGTGACATTTCTACTGATAGTTTCATTTTCTGTTATCATTGTTGTATATCGATTTTCAGAAGACGAAGGGTCTGTGGATATCAATGTAACACTTTCCCATGTTGATTCAATTTCAACAGTCGATGCAATCGAACTTGTATGTTCATCTGCCGTTGAGTCTTCCGTTGTTTCATATTCAGAAGATTTTGTTGTCAGTGTTGAAATGGAATCTCCAGATGAAGTACCAATAGAGAAGGACTGGTTATAAGTCATTGGCAGTGTGCTTGAGCTTGTTTCAGATTTTTCCATTTCAGTAGAAAACGAGCTGTTGTTAGCATAATCGGTTTCATTTTCCGATTGACTCCAAAAATCAATTTCAGCACTTAAATCTTTAACACACGTGATAAGAAAAAATGGTACAATCAAAGATATAGTAAGAAAAAGGATTTTTTGAAACATTTTCCAACTTTTCATGGCATTTTCCTTTTATACTACTGCATCCTAAATAAGAAAAGTATATGTACTGTACAGTTCTTGTTCCTTAACTACTGAAAATATGAATAGTACTTGAAAAACAATTAAACAAGAGCTTAGTAATTACATTAGGCTACATCTTTTAAAAGAACAAGAACAAAAATAATACATAATTAAATTAAAGAATTAAATTTTTTTTAAACATATTTGGGTCAAAGATCTAGAAATATACAACTAAACAGAGTCATACATGTATTTCTATAAGAAAAAGTGCACATCGTTTACCTGCTGTAAGTTTGAAGTCTTTGGTTCTTTGCCATTAAAGATCGTTGTATATATGTACAGCTGGGATGCCATAAACCCTCACAAGAGGCATTGAAGATCTATCTTAACAGTTCAAATATATTTAAGTTATACTCATTAATTGCTATCCATTTCATTTTCAAACTTCCTTGTAGATATAATATATTAGATATGCACCATTCCTAATGGCATAAATTTTCTTTCAATTTTTTGTAAGGGCGGGGGGGGGGGTAAAAATAGCAAAATTAAATTAATGTTTATGTACACATCTTTTGTAATATTTTCTTGTTAGAATCTGGGAAACATTTCTTCTTATCTTTAAATACATTTAGTACAGTTATGGTAGATACATGTACATATAGGTATTTTTTTTCTTTTTTCCGAACCTTAAAAATTAATAAGTACTGTTGGGATTTTAATGTTTCAAACTAATATTTAGAAAATGTTCTGTAGACGCGAGGGTTATATTTTAGAAAATATCCTGATTGAAAAAAGACAGAAATAATGCTCTAATCAAATAATTCAAGGAACAATGAAAGTAACTCACCATCTTTTTTTCATTTAATAACATTCGATAAAGTACAAGCAGAACGCAATGAGAGAAGCCGGTTTTGAAAATCATTAATTGTTTCATTTTTATTTTAACTTCATTCTCAGTTTTTGTTTGGTGAAGAAAAGAAAATTTTATTATTATTATTAAATACAAGAAATTATTCGAATAGTATTATTGAAAAGCTTCGACTAAACATGTCCTTTTCTTTTCTGTAGTTTCGTGGTAGTATTAGCATAAAAGGGTTCAAAATCTGGTTTATATAAAGATAAAGGGTTAGTTGAATGAACTTTAAGATAAACTTTTAGATACATAGAGAAAACCAAGTCGTGGCGTCTCCATATGAGTGAAAAATTTTCGAGAGGGACGTTAAACAA